TTGGATTTTCCGGGACATTCTCATAAAACAGGAGGCGAAGGGTTTATAGTAGGGTGAATACTAGCTGGTTGCATATTTTTAAATATTTTTCAATGTACAGTACAGTACTGTATTTATTTTGTGCAAAATAAAGAAATAATTTTTAACGATGCAATAGCGACAATGATTATTTTAAAAAAAATTTGATAGGCTTAACATGAAAGAAAATTCAACGCGAAGTAGGTTAATAGCGATGTACTAATATACTAATATACTAATTACATGGGATATAATAATATACAGTCGATCCCCCTATAACACTGTTGATTATTTCGTTTTATATGAATTCCATGTTGTACGAGTCACTTAGATTTTACAAATACGTGAGCCGTTGACAGCCCGGCACACATATTTGTAAAATCTAAGTGACTCGTACAACATGAAATTCATATAAAACGGATCGTTTGAACACCGAGATAAAAAAATTTCGTCCGATATCGCCACAACGCGCCAACACACACAGCAAAGAGACCTCGGAGAAGCTGGCCAATTTAGGCTTGGAGGTTCTGCCTCATCCACCTTACGGCCCAGACTCGGCGCCAACTGACTACCATATCTAAATATATATAACTGAAAGGTGACTGACTGACATAGTGATCTATCAACGCACAGCCCAAACCACTGGACGGATCGGGCTGAAATTTGGCATGCAGGTAGATGTTATGACGTAGGCATCCGCTAAGAAAGGATTTTGATCAATCCTTTCATATACTATCTTTCTTATACTATCCTTTTACTATTCTTTCTTATACTATCCTTTTACTATCCTTATACTAAGAAAGGATTTTGATCAATCCTTTCTTAATCCTATGTTATACCCTTGGGTAGACCCCAAGGGGATAAAATAGGGGATGAAAGTTTGTATGAAACTTTGTCAATTTTAAACCGATCGGGCTGAGACTTTGCATGCATAAAGCTACTATGACGTAGGCATCCCCTAAGAAAGGATTTTGATAAATTCCACCCCTAAGGGGATAAAATAGGGGATGAAAGTTTGTATAAATCTTCTTAGATTTTCGACTGATTGA